ACTGCCTGTATCTTGTATTCGGGCTGATGGACTGCCTAGTGCAGTGTCTTGTGTTAGGGCTGATGGACTGCCTACTCTTTCGGCCGATCTTGGCCCTTTTATGCAGCTGGCGATCGCACCTGAGACCCGGAAATAATTAATTCTTGCTGACTTAAGGTTATTGGAGAACAATAATTGTGGAGCGCGGTAAGTGGGTCGAAGCTTTGTGCTTCGTTGACAATTGTTAGTGGGTCAGGGTGGTTTTGCTGAGGCTGCATCCCGGAAGGTGCGGGCTGCAGTTGGGAAAGGTGATATCTGAATTTGGGTCGGTAGGTCGATAATTTTATGCTAGCTTGACTTATTGTGAAATTACGCCAATGATATCTCTTATTGCGAAATTGTGTCGGCTTGGCTTATTGCGACATTGTAGGCTGCTGATTTCACAATTGTCTCAAGAGGTGGGGTGTTGTTGATCGAGAGTTCTTAATTAATTGTGTGCTTAAGACTATTTTATTTCCGGGGTGCTGACACACCGCTATTTGTGGAGAACCGTGGCTAGAGCCATGGTTCGTTAGCTCGGTGTATATCAGTTTGGTTATTGTCTCCCGCCAGCGTGGATGCGCTGACCCTTCGCCGTTTGTGACGAGACATGGCTAGAACCATGGTTCGTTACACCCCCCCCTTTCTTCCGGGTGGGTGATGGAGAGATTAGTGGCGTCGCTTGGCGGGTGCTGAGGTTCGCCTTTTTCCTGTCCTTTGGCTTGTGCCGAGTCTCCGGATTCGTCGCTTTTAATCTCGTCACTTTAGCGTGGCGTCGGTAGCGTTATATTTTCTACTGCTGCTGTGATCGTGGCCTTTCTGCTGTTCTGGGTGCTTTGTAGTTGGTGTCTGCTTGGTGGGTCGATTATCCCATATGACGATGGTTTTCTCGGCGGTTTTCTTCGGTCGTTCTTTGTCCAGGCATTCTTGAATCGACGGTGCTATGTCGGGTGGCCAAGGATCCGTCGGTAGTTCTGGGTCGTCTTCGGTGGGTTCGGTGGCTCCGGGGTCAAAGGTTTGATTCGGGTCTTTCGGTAGGATGGGTCTGTCAAATGTAAATGCTTGGATCTGCGGGGCCAAGTCCGGCGGCCACGGCTCCGGGACTGGTTCGGGCTCATGTCCGGTTGGATCGGCGGCTTTGGAGTCAAATGGCTGGCTGGGGTCTTCGGGTAAGAGGGTTGTGTCGAAGGCGCTGGGCGTTTCGATCCTCCGTTGGTAGTCGCTTATGTGGGCGACGATGGGTGTGGTGTCGACCATGGGTATGATGTTTTGGTACGCCGGGTGTAGTACTCGTGTTATACTACAGCCAGACTGGTACGTGAACAGGTGAGTCGCGATGACCCCTCTGGTATCGCAGCAACGACTTGTGTGGGCGACGACGATCTCGGACAAGGCTCTAGGCATGGCTCGCTGCATGGCGCTAAGAATCATGTCAGTACGCGGAAGGTACTCCATTGTGTTGGCGAGGATCGGTGTGGCGTCGGCCGTGGGTCGGACAGGACGGCTGTCTGGGCATCGTGGGGGCATCGTGCTGGTTTCCGGGCCCTCGTTGAGGGGCTCTGTGGAGATCAGTTAGATTATGGGCCCCGTCCAGCGTGGGGTTAGCGTGGCTGTTTCCCGTGTGGCTGGGCTGTCGGATGGTGGTGTCCGTTGTCCTTTTTCGCTGCTGGCGGTCGGTTTTGAGGGTGTCCGTGCGTTCCCTGCTTCCGATGCGGTTTCTCTGCGTGCTTGCTCTGTTGCTTGTCTTGGACCTGGGCTTCCTGTGTCGAGCGCCGGGTTCAAGTGTGTTTGTATCGTGTGTGAGATCCTCGTGGTTTGTTTGGGGTGTGTGTCCCCTGTGGTTGGCCTAGGACGCGGTTGCTCCGTAGTGACCGTGGGACTCGTTTTCCCGATTGCTTGGTTGTGGTTGGCTTGTGTTGGCCTTGGATTCGTGTTCTCCGTTGTGGGCCGGCGTTTCGTATTCCTTGCGATTGGTTTGGGTGTCAAGTGTTGCGTTGCGTTATTGGGTGCCGTGTGCGTTGTGATAGGTCGTGGACGTAGGTTCGTTGCGATTTGTTGGGGTTTCTGGTATCGGGGTTCGGCGTCTTGTACGTGGATGGTAGTAAGCACGGGTTCAGTGGGCATGGTGTGACGGTCTCGTAGCTGTAGCAGCGTGGAGCCGCATTGGATCGTCGTTTCGGTGGCACCTAGGAAGTCCATGCCGACAATAATTTGTCCCAACATGTTTGGCAGGACCAGGAGCGGGATTTTAACCTCTCGTTGATCCAGCTTGATGTGCGCCAGTATAACTTGTGAGATCTCTCTGACCGAGCCATCGGCCAGGCGTATGCGGACGCATGCATCTTGCAGGTTGGTGTTGTTGTCTAGTTGTCGGGCGAGGTTTGCGCTGATGAAGCTTCTGGATGCCCCGGTGTCGATTGTGGCTTCCGTTGCGTGTCCTCCTATGGTCACCATCGCCACTATCCGGCCGTTGCTTACGTGTAGAGAGTTATTTAGTCGCGGGTTGGAGGAGTCGTCGTTCCCGGCTGATCCCGTGTCAGTTGGGGACGCATGTCGTTTCCAGACGTGTTTTGGCGGCAGCAATTTACGGTCCGTGTGCCGCGTTTGCCACATTCCCAGCAGAATTGGATGGAGGGATTATGGCAGTCGTATGCCGCATGCCCCGCTTCACCACACCGGCGACAGGCTGCGCGTGGGTTGGTGATGGGGGTCGTGATCATGTGATGGGCTACATCGGGATTCGCCGTACTGTTTGGATGAGCTGGTGGTCTCCCTGGTGTGTCTGTCGATTCCCAATGGGGACTCAGAAATGGCGTCTGGTGCGAGTCGCAATTCCTCGGCTCTGAAGCCGGCCTTGCGTATCTTGGAGTGTTACGCGGGGGTGCGAAAGTGGTCGGGATGGTCCGCTCTTGGATGCTCTCGAACTCGGTGGCCAACATTGTGAGCTGTGCTAAGCTTTGTAGTTCGTGTCGCCGCACGTACATCTGGTATGCTGGCAGGGCGTTATCGTAGATCCTGTTTAGTTCCTTGGCTGCATCGTACCTGGCGTGGTGCATGAGTAGACGTATCTCGATGAGGTAATCCTTGAACAATTCTCCTCTCGCTTGCTTGCGGGCTCGGATCTGGTCTTCCAATTGTTCAAAATACCGTGGCGGCAAGAAGAAAGTCAAGAATTCTTGGCGAAAATATGCCCATGAGCTGCCTTGTAGTTGGCTGGTGCGGTACCAGCGACTGGCCCGATCGGTGAGAAGCTCTGTCATGGCCCGAGGTAGCTGATTTGTGTCCACCCCATATGAGAGAGCACGTTCCTCGAGTAGTTCCAGAAACGCGAGTGTATCGTCCTGTCCGTCGAACCTGATCCCCCATTTCCGAATCTGTTCCGCGATGTGGGCGGTGGAAGAGTCCATGGCTGGCACGATCCTCTGGGTGGGCGAGCGGCTGGTCTCCGTAACTGGAGGTCTGGGGTGATCGGCTGGCGTTACGATGGTGGGCAGGGTGTGCTGTATTCGGCCGCTGTGGGGACTTGTAACGCGGCTTTTGGGTCGGTTTTCCGCTGGTCAGACGGCCCAGGAGTGGTGGGCATGGGCGACTTGGGCACTGACTTACGTGTTGTTGGTGGTATTTCTGCTTGCGACCGGATTTTGCGTTTTGTGCTTGACGGTTATTGATCTTTGCTAGCCTAGTCTCTTTCAGTGGCCGTGGGTCTTTACTCCACAAAGCTCCGTATTAAGGTGTTAGTCTCTTTAAAGTCACCAAAAAGTCCCTGCTATGGGGCCCCTTGTGAGGGTCCTATTTCAGGCTGAGGTAAGCATCAGTCTGTCCAGGGTCCGCTACAAGACAATTTGTAGTTTGTAGGTGACTTCAGGTGTCGGGCTGGCTCGTAAAAGAATGTAGTAGGCAGCGAGAAATGATGAGGCGACGGTTTTGTTGGATTGGAGAAACCGTAGTTGGTTGTTTTTGTTGGTGTTCTTTGCTTTGTTCTTTTATTATTTAATTCTTGTTTGTTTACAATGACTTAACTCGCGGATCTAGTTACTTGGTCTTGGAGCCGGTGGACTGGGTTGTGCAGTGTCTTGTGTTTGGGCTGAGGGACTGCCTAGTGCAGTGTCTTGGGTGTGTGACTGAGGGACTGCGTAGTACAGTGTCTTGGGTGTGTGACTGAGGGACTGCCTTGTGCAGTGTCTTGGGTGTGTGACTGAGGGACTGCCTTGTGCAGTGTCTTGTGTTTGGGCTGATGGACTGCCTGTATCTTGTATTCGGGCTGATGGACTGCCTAGTGCAGTGTCTTGTGTTCGGGCTGATGGACTGCCTACTCTTTCGGCCGATCTTGGCCCTTTTATGCAGCTGGCGATCGCACCTGAGACCCGGAAATAACTAATTCTTGCTGACTTAAAGTTATTGGATAACAATAATTGTGGGGTGTGGTAAGTGGGTCGAAGCTTTGTCCTTCGTTGACAATTGTTAGTGGGTCAGGGTGGTTTTGCTGAGGCTGCATCCCGGAAGGTGCGGGCTGCAGTTGGGAAAGGTGATATCTGAATTTGGGTCGGTAGGTCGATAATTTTATGCTAGCTTGACTTATTGTGAAATAACGCCAATGATATCTCTTACTGCGAAATTGTGTCGGCTTGGCTTATTGCGACATTGTAGGCTGCTGATTTCACAATTGTCTCAAGAGGTGGGGTGTTGTTGATCGAGAGTTCTTAATTAATTGTGTGCTTAAGACTATTTTATTTCCGGGGTGCTGACACACCGCTATTTGTGGAGAACCGTGGCTAGAGCCATGGTTCGTTAGCTCGGTGTATATCAGTTTGGTCTCCCGCCAGCGTGGATGCGCTGACCCTTCGCCGTTTGTGACGAGCCATGGCTAGAACCATGGTTCGTTACAGTACGGGTATAAAAACGTAGGACGATTACTTTTGCTCCCCATATACATATAATAATCTTAAATCGTGAAAAATTAATACGATCAAGTAATTATTTAAGTAGGTATATTGTATTTATATAACAGGTTCTTTTTTCCAAAATAAGTAAAACAATATTACAAAGATATAAACAGGATTTTAAGTAAATTTTTTTCACATTGGCTCAGAAATTGTATTGAATTCTCGGTTTGATTTCGGAAAAATTTCAGTTTCTTCATCGGAATGGTCAATTTTGGGTAGTTTTATATTCCAGGGCTGAATTTCTGCTGTTCCAAATATTTGATACACAATGTAAGTCAATAAGGAAATTACTGCAGCAACTCCAAAAACACTTCGCCACTGATCGATGGAGTCCTAAAAAAAACAAAGACACTTAGTTGTTTTAATGCTGTATTTTAAAGTGTATTTATTTTTATAGATGTATGTAGAATGTAAGTAAATAACGAATGTTGAGTCGATGCAGGAAAATTTTGAAATACACTTGTGGAAGTATGATATCACATTAGTCTGGAAACAAAATTTGGTTGAGTTCTTATAGTCTCTGAGCACTAGGCGCTCATCGGGACGGACGGACGGACAGACAGAAATGGCTATATCGACTCGGGTATTGATGCTGATCCAGAATATATATACTTAATGGGGTCGGAAACGTTTCCGTTTGACAGCCCTTGAAAGGCCAACTTCTTACAACTTCGGGATGGGAACAAATTCTACAAATCAAAAACCATGACAATGGTTTCAAAATGATTTGACTAAACGGCTGAGCTAAAATTGTTTTACTCAAAGAGTTTAGGGGTATATTAGATTTGTGGTAAAAGATCTATTTGTGTAACGCAGAGAAGGAAACGTTTCCGACCCCATAAAGTATATATATTCTGGATCAGCATCAATAGCCGAGTCGATATAGCCATTTCTGTCTATCCGTCCGTCCGTCCCGATGAGCGCCTAGTGTTCAGAGACTATAAGAGCTAGATCAAACAAATTTTGTTTCCAGACTAATGTAATATCACACTTCCACAAGTGTATTTCAAAATTTTGAAATAATAGAAATAAAATAGTTGAATAAAAACTATATCAGACTTGTATGTTCTAGTTACCGTTTTCGAGTGCAATATTTATTCCTTACAAGAAAACGTATGGCGCATACCAAAGGAGCAATTAGGCTACTAACTAATGAAAAACGACAAATTTCACGAGAAGCGCGCCGCAATGGTGTGGCACGTAGTAAAAATGTCCGCTATAATCGCTATAACTCAAGAGAAACGTGCGGAAGAATATGAAAGGAGACGTGCACATATTGCACAGGTTCACGCTGTCCACCAAGGTCCACCTAAATTTCGACAATACCCGCCTACCAACATATTCGCTGCGTTGATATTGGTTCATTGTCTGTCGTATGCCAGCATTTCAATGCATTGAAGTTTAAAGCGGAAACCCCGGGCATATGCTGCGCTGGAAAGGTAAAATGGCCCGTTTTGACTCATCCGCTAGAGCCATTGTATTCGTTTTTCTATGGAAATACAATCAAACCATTTCCTGGCGAGTACACAAAAGTATAACGGATGCTTTCAAATGACGTCATTTGGAGCCGAATTTGTTGATCAACCCGGCAACAATGCGAGTTAGAAGGTAATGGCGTCGACATGAACAATTCCTTCAGATCTATTTCGTTGGAGATTCAACAGTAGAACTAGATGCAATTTGCAATTGTGCAATTTTTACTGCAGCTAAACGTGAAATTATACAGTAGTATGCACAGATATAGACAAATAAAAACATATAAACAACACCCACTGTACCAAGTGTACTAAAGGAACACACACTGTAACACTTTGTTGCAGTGTTTATGTAACCATAATTCCCAAGCATATTTAAAGTGCGACGGTAATACGATCGCACAAATATGCCTCGCGGATATGCCTCGTCTGCATGTCTGCACCCAAACATGAGCCGTTCAAGTGTTTATGCATACCCCTCGCGCGCCACGCTATCAACAGCGCTGGGCAGGGCATATATAAAACGACTATATAAATGCGGCCGCTCCGCTGCCGGCGTTCCCAGCAGCGCAGTTGCGCGGCCTTAGGCTAAACAGATCTTAAGAATTCTTTCAAGAAGGATTCAATAAAGTTAAACCAAGAAGAACGGATGTTCTTCTCCATCAAATATTCCAACTTCTAATTTAAATCTATTTAAAGCAAAATCTTCTGCATGAGCATAAGGATTGTTCAAAACCGCATTGGATACAACGCATTCTGACGACCACAAAATCATTATCAGAGAAAACAAAAGAGCAGCTGGAGGCTATGAAAGATGAGATGACGTACGTGCGGAATGCTTCTATCTTCGCTTGCTTTTGGTGAACATTAGAGGCTCTACATCCTTCGCTTCCTTGGACCAAAAATTTTTTTTTTCGAAATTCAAACGGGACACCCCTTTATTTTGTTACCTTGGAATTAATAGTAACTTACATGTTTTTATTTTTTTACAGGTTGCTACAGACTTTTACGAATTTTACAAGAAAATTAAAAAAAAAATTGTTTTGAATGAGTTGGATAACACTACCCGACAAAATCGAAATATTTTTTTCCTCAAGGATCCAAACCGACTTTTTCTGATAGATATGGGGCTTTAAAATTTTTTAAACAATTATGGTTTTTTTTCTATGGCAGAACTTTATTTTTAAGAATTTTTGAAGTCTGGTATTTTTTTTAAAGCTTTTTTCAGAGGTAGCTCTTGTTTTTTTCACATAACTCTAGTATCTTACGTCTGGTTGTAAAGAACTTTGCTATTTTGAAAAGATAATTTAAAGCTAGAAGTTAAGCCCAAACACTTTGTGATTTCAGCTCACCGTCTGGGAAATATAAAGTATTGAAATGCAAAAATTATGATTTTTGTGAGGTATTTTTTACGAAATTTTGACTTTAAAAACTCAGGAAAAGTTTAAAGTTTCTGCAACTTTTGACATTTAAACAAAATTTTTTCGTAGGGTATGGTTTTATTTTTAGATATGAACTTTTTAGCGGCATCTATTCTTAACAAAGAATGCCAATAGTGCTATGTTTTTAGTAAATGTTTCCCATTTTTTATATCAAAAAGCAATGTTTGTTTTACTTGGTATGTAATTCCAATTTTGCTACATGTAAAATTAAAAAATGTCAATACAAGCATTGCTTGTTGGGCCAGCAACGGTAAAATGTGATTTTCAGAGGGCTTTTGCCTGGACGTTGATATGCAATGACTGCGCCATCAAGTGGCCCAGACGACACCAAGCCGAAGCCTTTTATGCGCGGAACCAAGGCAGAAAGGTACGGAAGATCAGGTTGTGCATAAAAATCACCCCAAGCATTTTTCTACGACTAACTAAGGTTGAAAGGTTTATTAAAAGCAATCTACGAGGGTAAGATGGAAGTCTCACAACTGCATCACAGTTAAGGCCACGCAGAGCAAAAAGTAACGAGAAGGAACGTGTGAGTCGCTTCTGGAACGCGACTCTACTTATACCCGTACTCAGTCAGTATATATATTTTTGAGCATATGATTTTTTAGAATTTTAGTATTACAAACATTTTATATTTTAATTTTTTTTTTACGTCTGTTATCTACATCTACAATTTATATTGTACATCTATCATGTAGATTATACATGTACATGGTAAATATGTTCGGTTTACATACAGTTTCGGATGGTTACAATTGTGTACTTAGGTCAAAAGATTATATTTTGTTTATTGCCCCTATCGTGGGTTTATTTACGTATCCTTCCTGCTGCCTGTTGCATATTTATTTAGGTCAGCAGTGCATTTCTCCTACAACTATATTTGTGTAATAAAATCCTAATAAAACCAAAACAAATTGTCAATTGCTTAAGCTGGTCGTTCTTTCACCTCGCTCCTGCCTTTTCTGCCTTTTTGCGATAATAACTCAATATTAATTGCTAATAATTGTGTTTATCATTGAACCTATCATAGCTGGTCACTGTTTGTGCCTGTTATATCTGTTTCACTTGCTAACAATTGATTCAATATAATTAAACACTCCGACCGTTAAACAAACTTGCTCAAACGATTTGTTATTACTTTTATCCATTCCGCTTTGGATCAAAGCTCTCTGTGATCATCGCTCGTGCGCCTGCTGCATCGCCTACTTACACACGCTCTGAAGCGCACAAGTGTAAGCTCTCTTGCTCTCACTCTATGGATTTTGCCTGCATTCTTCTTCAATTACTCTTTCAGTGTCTATGCTGTCGTGAGCTTCACTGTTTGTTTTTCGTCACTTCGCTGGATCGTCTGCAGCGTCGACGGCTACACGATCTCATCTCAAAACGTATGGGTCTGGCTTGGTCATGTTTGGCGTGCCGGGAGATTGAGGCCGAAATGCGCACTTTTATGAGACAGACTCGTACTGGCTTTCTGGATGTCCGGAAGCAATTTGTCGGTCTCAACGAGAAGTTCCTGACCTTGGAATCTCAATTTCTTAGCCTCAAGCTTCTGAGTGAATCTCCTAGACGGAAAATCCCTAACACCGATAACAACAACTTCTTGCAACATATTGGAATCGGAACGCCTTCTTCTCACCTACATACATCTGAATCCTTGGCTTCGCCTAGTGGTCATGCCTTACCGGAACTCAAATTTCACCATCCAATATCAGAATGTACGCAGTCTTTTGGGTAAATTGACCAAAATATATACGGATAGCGCCTCTTTTGAATTCGACGCTATAGCTATAACTGAAACCTGGCTTAACTCTTCCGTCTCCGATCATGAAATTTTTGTCCACAAGTTCACCACCTACAGAATGGATCGACCATCATTTGCTGTTGGAGTTCTTATTGTAAAAAATGATTTTGCGTCCGACCTGTTTCCATTTAACAACACCCATTAAATTTAATTTTTAGCAGTCAAAATCCGTATTGGAGCGTCGTTTATCTTTTCAACCTGTTCATACATTCCTCCTAGATCTGATGCTTTTGTTTATTTGAACCACCTTTCTGCCATTCATTCCGTAGTTTCTGTGCTGATCATATTATAATAATGGGCGACTTCAACATACCACTTCTATCTTGGCAGCAGGATGAATTAAACATGCTGTTACCTGGTAGTCAACATGATTTTTTGATGATATAATTGATGTCTCCCTTGCCCAAATGAATTCCGTCGAAAACAGTAGAGGCAGACTGTTAGATCTCACTTTCGTCAGCTATGCTTCTCGAGCAACGGTTGTCAGAGGTAGTCCTATGTCTTTTCTTGAAGATCTGCACCGTCCAACTTTGTCTATAGTTGTCAAGCTTTCGAATATTAATTTCATTAAACCTTCAACTAATCGAATAAAGTGCTTTCGTAAAACGAATTTCACCGATTTAAGATTACATCTCTTGCAAATTGATTGGTCCTTTCTTCAGTCGTTATCAGATATAAATGGAATAGTCAACTCGTTCTATGACACGTTAAACTCTGCTCTCAACACCTATGTTCCTGAAGTTACCGTTCAGATATCCTCCAAACCGCCCTGGTTCGCCAAGTATCTGTCCTAACTAAAAAACGAGAAGGAACGTGTGAGGCGCTTCTAAAGACGCGACTCTACCTATACCCGTACTCAGTCAGTATTTACATTTTTGAACATATGATTTTTTAGAATTTTAGCATTAAAAAAAAATTTTTTACATTTTACATTTTTTTGCTACATATGATATCTACATCTACATATACAATGTATATTCTACATCTAACATATAGATTGTACATGTTCCAATTAGATTCTACATCTCCTCCGCTAGGGGTTGCTCGCTTACTGAACGCGGCAGAGTGTGCGAGCGAGAAGGAAAATGAGTTGCGTTGTCGTCGGTAGGAAGGGGCAGGGAAAGCAACAAAAAATTAATTTCTTCATTCTGGCTAAATTTATGATCCGATCTGATTCAGATTTGGCAATCTGGTAATCGACTCGGCTATTGATGCTGATCAAGAATATATATACTTTATGGGGTCGGAAACGTTTCCTTCTCTGCGTTACACACATCCACTTTTACCACAAATCTAATATACCCCTTAACTCTTTTTGAGTACGGGTATAATAAAAAATCCCGGCTACATAAAAAGTACCAGAGAACTGGTTCTTTATCTGACTTTGGTCAATACTCGTCTGTTCGCTCCAAATTTCTTACTGTCAATAGTCAATGTTATAAACTTTATCTTTCCCAATGTAGTAAATCTTTCCGTACTGATCCAAAAAAAATTATTTTCGTTCGTCAACTCAAAACGTAAGTTTAACGCGTTACCCGCTTCTCTTCTTTTTGTAGTATAACACTACTCGACAAAATCGAACTTTTTTTTTCCTCAAGGATCCAAACCGACTTTTTCTGATAGATATGGGGATTTAAAATTTTTTAAAGAATTATGGTTTTTTTTCTATGGCAGAACTTTTTTTTGAAGAATTTTTGAAGTCTGGTATTTTTTTTTTATGCTTTTTTCAGAGGTAGCGCTTGTTTTTTTCACATAGCTCTAGTATCTTACGTCTGGTTGTAAAGAACTTTGCTATTTTGAAAAGATAATAAAAACAGCTAGAAGTTAAGCCCAAACACTTTGTGATTACAGCTTACCGTCTAGGAAATATAAAGCATAGAAATGCAAAAATTATGATTTTTGTGCGGTATTTTTTACGAAATTTTGACTTTAAAAACTCAGGCAAAGTCGAAAAAAAATTATATCTTGTGTCCTCTATTTTTTTGTATATAGGTGCGTTAATTTGGCGTCGTTTAAGGTATCGCTCATTAAAATCTATGGAGAGACTGTGGAGCTAAAATTCGTTAACCGCGGGGCAGCGTCCCTTCTCGTTTTTTTTCTATGGAATAACTTTTTTAATGAATTTTTAAAAATTGGTATTTTTTGTTATTCCTCTTTCAGAATTAGCGTTTTTTTTTTCACATAACTTAAGTATCTTACATCTGGTTGTAAAAAAAATTGCCATTCTGAAAAGCTTATTGATGCAGCTAGAATTTTGACCCAAGCCCTTTGTAGTTTTAGCTTACCGTCTGGGAAATATTAAGCTTTCAAATAAAAAATTATTATATTTGTGCGGGATTTTTTTTACGAAACTTTGACTTTAAAAACTCAGGAAAAGTCGAAATAAAATATATCTTAAAACCTTAAACTTTGGTACATTTACTAAAGTACGATGTGTACTTTAAATTTGATTCGTTATATCTTCATGTATATATATTCTATCGCCATGAATTCAAAATCCTGTGAAAGGTGGTACAATTTTCTTGACAAAGTTATGTTTTTTGCTTATATATGAACTTCAGATTGTGATTACAAATTATGAAAGGGCCCAAAAAATTGGGCCACCAATGTTTTAAGCGGTACAATTTTCGGAGGGTTGGTCAACCAATTTTAGATCCGACAAGCGACGCCGAATTGAAACACCTATATACGTATAAAAAGTCCCGCATAAAAATCATCAATTTAGCATTTGAAAGCTTTATATTTCATAGACGGTAAGCTGAAGCTATAAAGTGTTCAGGTCAACATTTATCAGCTTTTTAGAATGGCAAAGTTCATTACAATGTAAAATACTAAAGATATGTAAAAAAAAAAGAAGCGGTTTTGCGGATAAATATTCTATCTTTACTTGTCCAATTTTAGGTGCGAGTCACGAAGCTTCGAAGCCAATATCGATTGGATCTGAGCCGATTGTGTTTATGACGTAGAGAGATTAAGGCATTTTAGGCATTCAGCAGCACTCAAAACATTATGGATGAAATCCATCACTGAGCGGTGATCAAGTTGTGCTGGTGAACACGCTCCATAGCTCCATCGTCAAAACCAAAATTTATTATCTAGTAATTTCGTAAAAAAATCCTTTTGTAAGGCCCTATAAAGTTAGTAAAAAGTTCGAAATCCGATACAGAGCACAGACTGCCAAGAATTGAAGAATAAACGAGGCGAACGTTGTAAGGTAGACATGGTTATAAATAAACGATACTGCGCTCTTTGTTTACTCGTATCTTTAAAATTTTGGATGCCACAGATGTTCTGCCTTTATGTGGGGGGAAGGGGTCGAAAATTTGAAAACACTTGTAACAGTGTGATATTACATGAATCTGGAAACAGATCTAGGCGCTCATAGAGACGGACAGACATATGGACGGACAGACTTAAATACATAACGAACCAGCAAAAAGCACCCACTGTGAGAAGCTCACCATCATAATCTGGCGTGGGGCTCGCCTCAATAAGAAAATAGCCAAGGTCTGCAAATACCACATGAAAAATGTTTTCCAGACAATTTCAACATCGATGCAATTCGAATCGATCCGATTCTGTTCACATCATTCCAAATAACTCTTAGCCAGGACCAACTATTTTCAGTCAAGACGTCATGATAACCCAATCCTCGGCTTACTTGATCGATACATTCGATACATTCTCCTGCGCCAAAGCTTGTTCGTTCCGAATAATTTCGGGTGTTGGTGGATCCGGAGAATACTTTCGAAAAACACTTCCCAGATTCTTACGCATACACCACTCGGTCAAAAAAATTAGGTTTTTTTCTAGAACTTACATTTGTAAAGGTATCAAAAGTGTATCATTGATTTATACAATGATTTATACATTCAGTTTACTGTCATAAGTGTATGTGACAAATGAATAATCTTGTATAAGATTAGCAATATTTTATAGGTCGTATTTAAGTGTCGCGGAGTATCCTTCACAGCTCATTAAAAACAAAGTAAGCTTTTTTAGAAATATGCTCGTTTAAAAACAGGCACAAAATAATTTTATAAAATATCGCTTATGAAAAATTTGCCTTCTAAAAGTTAGTTTCATTTACCACATACAATAATGGCAGTAAACTGACATTTTATTGCTGTTGATTATAACAGTTCGTCACTGAAGTAGACTTAGAAATCAATCTTAAGAAGACAAAGTTCTTTATAAATAACGATTTATATATATTATAATATTATAATTTACCTCTTGAGTTACAATAAATCCAGCCGTTAAAGGTGAAATAAAAGACGCTGACATATGAATAGTTTGGCAGAATGCTAATACAGCAGCAGAATGTCCATAATTCGGTGCTAAGTCAATTATATTTGCCATTGCTCCTGCATAGGATGCCGTTATAAATATCACTGCTATAAACCAAATTGATAATAAAAGATGTATATTATCTACATATCCTATACAGTATATTAATAACCCTGGAATGATCTGTGATAATGCTGTAAATAATTTTCTCACATTAGTAAGATTTAAGACTTTGTACAATATAAATTTATCAGCAATATAACAAAACAATACCGATGAGAAGTATGAGCAAATAAAAGGCATTCCCGATAGAAAACCATTTGTTTCAAAATTAAACTTTAAAACGTTGCCCATAAATGTGGGTCCATTTACAATAAAAATATAATGCAGGAATATCCTTCCAAATGTTGTAATTGCAATTGCCCAAGCTGGCAACGACTTAAATATTTGCGGCCATGGTACTTTTAATTTGGTATTTTTTACCTCTTTACTAACACTTAGCTCAATGTAATTTAGTTCTTCTTTAGTAATACGAGGATGTTCACGAGGTGTGTTATACGCGAGCAAATACCATAATAAACACCATCCAAGTCCTAAAGTGCCCGTAGTATAAAATACATATTGCCATCCAAACTGTGATAATATAAATCCACATAATGGATATGTTAAACCGATTCCAATACTAAATCCTTGAAAACTTGACATAAAACGAGACCGTTCTGTAAGTGGTATCCAGTACCCCACTATGGCATACATAGCAGGCCAAGTTAAGCCAGAGGCAAACCCCTGAATAGAACGTAACACAATAACAGCAATGTAATGTAATTCTACTGCCAACGGAATAAGTAGACTACAAAGAGCAGTTGCCAGTTGTGACCATCCAAATACGCACTTGGTTCCAAAAACATGAGTGGCAACTCCACCTGCAACCTGGGATAGTACGTAACACCAATAGAATGAACTTATTATGACGGATTTTACTATGGATGTTTGGTCAACAGTACCACTTTCCTAAAAAAAAAAGTAAATCATATTTAGAAGTTCTCTATGAAAATGTTAAGAGTCACATTACCGGGATTGAATACGAGGTATTAGTTGTGTTCTGGTTCGTATTATCTTTTGGATATATGGCAATCAAAGCAAAATTCATATCATTACGCATCATAAATGATACAAGAAAACCAGACCATGAAAGAAAATACAGCACCAAGCGAGCAGGAATTTTGTCTGAAATTTTAAAATCATTTTTTTTTTGTTAATAATTTAAATTGTTAATTCTCTAGTTCTATGGCTATAGATTTGGTTGGATACACCACTAAAACACATTACACTTAAAGACATTTTTGGAAAGGTTATTTATTTTTTTATTTATCTGGATCAGCATAATTTTACATTTTTAGGGCCGGTTTCTCGACTTCCGGTTACGGTACCGGTTAGTTGTCGTAGGGATAAAGTTAACCACCTGATAAAGTTGTAGAAGGTTTTCTCGAAGACCGGTTAACAATCGAAACAAAAAAAGAATAACAGGGTTGAGTGTTAAATGTTGTGTAGAGCGCAAAGCACAGGGTTTGCAACGTGATTTTTGAAAAATGTCGAAAGATAATATATCTCACTCCCATACGCATTCCCATAGAATATTATTACTCATATTGATTTATATTTTGCAAAAAACAAACCCACTTTTACTGCTTTATCAGGGTTCGTATAATCTTCTGGTTTTAAATGAGTTTTTTTTTCAGGGTTTATTATGTAGGTTTATTGTATCAATTATCACAGATAATAAAGTACAATTACTTAACGTAATGTAACTATTGATTAGCAACTTTTGTTAAGGATCAATGACAATTTCTATTTACAATTTACTATTTTAAGTTAAATGCGGGACCAACGGACGACAACGGAGATTATGCAACAATAATTTATATGTTCCTGGTGGCCACGTCGGACGGATGGGTGCAGTTTAGCCTTCGCCTGGTTTTGTTCCTTACCAATCTTCTAGCGAAGACGTTCGGGTGGCTCTTTAGTTTGGTCAGCACCACAGATATTTCGGAGGGTCTTGTTCTGAAACACCCTGATCTTGTCCAGGTTCGTTTTCGCTGCGATACCATAGACCTGGATGCCATACCTCCATGCAGGCGCCAGGATTACCTTATATATGCGGATCTTGTTGGCCAGGCTGAGCTTGTTGTTAGGCTTAAGAAACCAGTAGAGTTTCCTAGCCTTGCTTTCCAAGGCGTTCTGACCATCCGTGAGTGGCTGGCAAAGATCAGGCGGGTGTCCAGCGAGATTCCCAGGTACTTATGTTTCTTCCGCTGCTCCAACAGTTCGCCACAACACACTTCTCAGGGTTCACACTGATATTCCACCTACATGCCCAGTTCTCAAACCTTTCAAGGTACCGCTGGAGGTTGTCCGTGGCGTCGTAAGCGCAGTTGGCCCTTGACAGGACTGTTGTGTCGTCGGCAAATGTGGCAATCACATCACATCACATCACATACGTACCAGCCGTATTGTCAACGCTATTCTTAGGCATATCGTGCGTGAAAAGGCTGTACAGCGTTGGCCCTAGCACGCTGCCTTGCGGGACTCCGGCTTCAATTACCTTCACCGTGGAAATAGCTCCGCTCTGTGCGACTTGGAACGTTCTTTCCATTAGGAAGCTTCCAACAATCAGGAACAGCTGGGGGTTTATCAGGGGTTTTATCTTCGCAAATAATCCGTCGTGCAAAACTCTGTCGAATGCTTGCTGGATGTCCAGGTACGCTGCTACAACGAACTGCTTCTTGTGGAAGCAGATATGCTCCACCACCCTATGCAGTTGCTCCGGAGTACCATGCCTCAGCCTGAATTGGTGATTAGGGATAGCTCGATTTACGGATGGGCTGTCCAATAATCTGCAAAGAATGCAGCGCTCCAGGAGCTTCCCAAAAGTCGGGAGCAGGCTGATTGGCCAGTAATTGGCCAGGTCTTCCGGGAATTTTCCGGGCTTATGCAGCATGACAACCTGCGCGGCTTTCCATGCTTTGGGGAAGTGTCCCAACCTCAACGTTGCATTCAGTATTTGTAACAGGTACAAAAGCGCTCTGAGTGGCAGTAATTTTGCCACTCTGTTATCTATATTGTCCTTTCCTGGGCCCTTTTTATTTTTGAGCATGCGTATTTCCGTCTTTAGTTCCTGGAGTGTGATTGGGGCCACCGGGAGGTCTCCTCGCTAAGGAAGTCTTGAATGGTCTGAATCTGCACTTCAGCTCATCTGCAAAGGCTGCCACCCGGTCCGCTGCTGACCTCGACCATGAGCCATCTGCCTTTCTTACTGGGAAGTTGGTGGTGGATTGTCGTTTGTATCGGCTCGTGATAGCTTTTTCCTCAGTCTGTTGGCTGCGCTCCACCCTGCGGTCATTGGTGCGAAGGAATTCTTTCCTTAGCCTTTTTTTTAGAAGCAGTAGTCCTTCTACTTCCCTCGACGTCCCGCTATTGTGACTTCGAGTACGCGACGGTTAAGTGGATAGGTGACCTTGTGGGGCAGCAGCTGCAGCAGCCTCGCAGACCTTGGCCACAAATGAGTCAATGGCCCTTCCACTTCCTTGGTTGTCCGAATCTCCGTGTTTAGGTTCCTGAATTTCTTTTAACATGGCTGTGTTTGTTCCAGTCTTGAGTATCCTCATCTTGGCAGGGATCATCTGGAGTGTAGCCGTTAGTTTCGCGATTAATGGTAAGTGGTCAGAGCTTAGCTCGTGCTCCTCACAGACTGAGAGCAGGTTGCTGGGGATCGACTTGTAGACGAAAAAGTCCAGGCTTAAGGGTGTGGAACGACGACTACTTGGGTAAAAGGTGGGGCTACCCGTCGCTAGTACTTGGGCCGCGCAGTTAGTGAGGGCGTCCTCTGCGTTGTCCTCTGTAGCTGCCCCAGATTCTGTGAGTAATACTATTCTATGGAAATGCGTGCCATAGTGCGATATTTTTTTGTCGAAATTTTTACAAAAATCCCGTAAATAATTGCGCTCCCGCCTTGCCCTAACCTACTTACACTAGGCTTTAAGAATTCAAAATAATCTTAACATAAAACATTGACTAAGACGATGACATGACGAAACAACAGCATTGCAGTGTAACGAACCATGCCTCAAGCCAGTGTGGTTTCAGCGCATCCGCGCTGGTCGGGAACAATAATCAAACTGATATTCACAGATCTCCACAAATAGCGGTTTGTCAGCACCTCCGGAAAATAAAATAGTCTTAAGCAACGCACACTCTCGATCAAAAATTCTACCCCTGCTTGTCCACACAACAATTTAAAACACCCCACCTCTTGCGTTATTTCGCAATCAGCGAAGACAGCACAAAATTCTCGGTCTCCCCACATCTTGCGTTATTTCGCAATCAGAGGAGACAGCACAAAATTCTCGATCCCCCTAACTATTCTGATCTACATTCAGCCGTCACCTTCCGCTATGCAGATTCAGCAAATACCAATTTATAAAGAACCTATTTTAGGCTGGGGTAAACTCAGTCTGTCCAGGGTCTGCTACAATAAATTTGTAGTTGTTGTGGGGACTTTCGGCGAGGGACGCGAGCATTTGGTGGTTAAAGAGTTTAAGGCTAAGTAAAAGAATAGGCCTCCCATTACTCTTCCTAGCATTCAGACCAGTGATCCATCTCCATCCTCATCTTCCACCTCTACTTCCACCCATCCAAAAAACTAACTTCCTCTCTTGTAGTTACCTACCAGAATGCTAGAGGCTTGTGTAGTAAGCTCAGCACTCTTTTCCTTGAGAGTCTCGCATTCTCATCCCACGTTATTGTGTTCACCGAGACCTGGTTAAAGCCGGACATCCTTAGTTCCGAAGTTTTGGCAGGTCGGTACAAAATTTTTAGAAATGACCGTTTGTCTCGACGTGGAGGTGGGGTCCTTATTGCAGTGGACTCAAACTTCACGTCGGAACATTTCATGGTCCAGATTCAACAAGAACTGGAATTCCTGTGCGTAAAACTGATTCTCCCAGGCTTTTCCATTTTCATTACTTGCTCGTATATTCCACCTTCCTCGGATATCTTAATATACGAGCATCACCTGTCCGCTTTAAAAACTGTTTCTTGCTCGCTATCAGATAAAGACCATATGATAGTTCTTGGTGATTTTAATTTGCCAGGTACTGTTTGGTCTTCGGTAAACGAGTCTAATAACCTTGTGCCCATGTCACGACATGACTTTATCGACGGCTTGCTAGACCTTTCCCTGTCTCAAGTCAAACATGTGAAAAATTCCTTGGGTCGAATGCTTGATCTGTGCTTTGTCTCGGATCCGACCATAGCGTTGTTAACCCGAGCCCTTCCGCTCACTATAACTGAAGACTCCTACCATCCTAAATTCGAAGTGTTGGTCAATATTGGGCCTACTGTATTGGATCGAACGGGTAGGCTATCTGAGCGTGTCCGCTGCTTTCGTAAAGCCGAGTTTACGAAGCTTAATAACCTTATTAGGGATTTTGATTGGTCCGCTCTGTACTTGTGCACTGACGTTATGAAAGGCACAAACATTTTTTACAATGTACTTGACACATTTTTGATTCTTGTGTCCCACTTTCTTGTCCGGTTAGATCTGGAAAGCCTCCTTGGTTTACCAAAGAGTTATCCAGTCTAAAAAATTTAGATATTTAGAAAATCAAGACTTTATAAAAAATTTCGAGATGTTGGTTCTTCCTCTTCTCTTTCTCACTATGTAATAGCTCGGTCAAATTTCTCCGTTCTTAACGCTCAATGCTATAAAAACTACCTATCTCGATGCAGGATACGATTTTCACAGGACCCTACAGTTTTACAGCTTCGTAAATAGTAAGCGTAGAACGTCCGCACATCCATCCTCGCTATCATTTCTCAATATGTCAGCAAACAATGTTCAGGCAATTGCCGATCTTTTTGCCAAATTTTTCCAAACAACCTATTCTTATGAAAGCTACTCTGGTCAGCTGTATCCATACAGTTTACCAAGGTCGAATGGCATCTTCAGCCCCTTGTTAAATGAAAGCTCACTGCTTCATGATCTTCGACTAGTTAAGCCGGTGTTTTCACCAGGTCCCGACGGAGTTCCCGGCTGTGTACTTAGGTACTGTGCCGACGCTCTGTGTGGACCCTTGCTTAAACTATTCACCCTATTCATTAACTCTTCATGCTTCCCCCCCATCTGGAAGGAATCTTTTATTATTCCGCTCCATAAGAAAGGTAGCAAG